TTTTTTTTTTTTTTTTTTACCATTCTTGTTCGCTTTCTTTTCTGTTTATGTTCCTCTCCGTTCTCTCTGTCCCCTTTTCTCTTCTTGCTTCACGTACCCCTTCCCCCCATAGACTGTCTTACTTTGTCTTTTCTTTATTTCCGATACCTCCCCATCCTCCTCTCTCCACCCAAGGAAGAGGAAATCGTGCCTCATCCCAAAGTATCACTGGAAGTTTATAGGTCTTAACAACATCACTTTTATGGGTTCGAGGTTTTGTTGTAGAAAATAGTGTAACTGGTAAACTACCCCATACTGAGTTCTTCTTCTGAAGAACAGTAGAAAAGGTTAGATTTCTACACAAATAATTTAAGTAACTGCCTTGTATGTTACATACGACCAGCCTTTTAAAAACAATTCATGCTTTTGTCCCTTTTGCACCAAATACCCTCTGACCTAGCTTCCTGTTAACTTTAATGTATTAATCTTTTTTCTTGCCATGGCCAGAGGATAGTCTCCCCTCCCTCCCCAGGAGTATTTAGGTTTGAGTTTACATATTTTTATGGCAAGTATTGGTGCCATGTTTAACCCTTACCTATTAACAGAGGTTCTTTCAAAGAGGAAAGGACAGTCAGTTTTTATGTTTACTGTTGTTATGTTTTGTCTCTTTTGAATTGTGAGAAAACCATTAAAAAAAACCCAGAAAACAGTTGTGTTTTCTTTTTTAACCTGGAGGAGAGCAGCATCCTATTAGTAATTCTAAATATCACGAAGGTTTTAGGGATCTCTCTTTTCCCCCAAAAATTGTAGGTTTGCGTTCCTGATTACCGTTATGTTTTGGTCTAGCCTGTCTCAAAGTGCATCCATATTCCTAAAGTACTAGTTAGTGACAAAGTCTGCTTCAGGTGTTCTGGCTGTCCAGTGTGGCCAGAAGGGGAGTAAAGAGCCTACAAGTCAATGATCTAGAGAGGAATAGATAGTCCTTGGTAGTTTGTTGTTTGTCTAAATGTTACGACCACTTTTATTCATCAGTGTGGGCGCTATGTTGAAATAGAGCAGAAAGAAATTCTTTAGTTAAAAAAACCCATATCATTGTTGCTTATTGAACGTGAAGTGTAAGGAAGAAATTTCCGACGCCACTTTGCATGTTCAGTTAAAATTACTGACTCATTTGCTACCAAAGTGGGAAATCGCAGGTAATGAAGAGTCCTGATCACAGGAATTATTATTGAAATTGTCACTGGCAGAGGAGTGTGCTACTGCCTCTTCCTTCTTTGTGCCTTATCTAGTGTCGTGTGCTACGAGGCACTCACACATTGGTTGAAAAACTTGATTAATTTGTACCCTTCAGAATTTCAGTAGTCCCATTCCAGAACCCTCAGGTGTCTTGATTTGTCCAAGACAAAAAACAGCTTCAGCTGGTGTGGAGAATTTTCTTGGGTATTTTCAAGTTCAAATCTAAAGCACGTTAGCCATGAGCAAGTTTTAATGCTCATCTGTTCTTTTGAAGTGGTTCTTTTTTATGTCCCTTCCCTTAATTCATCATCCAGACTGCCTGCAAGTTGCACTGTACTTTACCTATAGATGTTGGTACTCATCATTCCCATTTCTTTAAAATTTGGCAGTTATTTTAGCTTCTCGTGTGGGGTTTTAAAAATTCTGTCTTACTCCCTATGCATCTTATGCATTGGAGTCTAACTTTTTTTTTTTTTTTTTTTTTTGTTCCTTCCTCCCGAGGTAGTGAAAAGCAAATACGGAAGAAATAGGATCTCAAGATGAGTAAAAAGCCCCCAAATCGTCCTGGAATCACTTTTGAGATTGGTGCGCGTTTGGAGGCCCTGGACTACTTACAGAAATGGTATGGAAAACCCGGAGCCCTTGACCTGAAGCACCGTATTGGTAGCCTTAGAGTTGTTTCTCAGTTGCTCTTCTTCTGACCCTGGCAGAAACATTAACGTGGTCACGTTTTAAGTACCCATGCACTTTTTTAGCTTTCCTACTCTTCAACAGGCTTTGCAGGTGCAGCATGCCAAAGCTATTTGTAGTCAGAATCACTGTAGGTATTGGGAACTGAACTGAAAACAATGATCTACAATATGAAGTAGAGAGAGCGTATCAGTACCCTCGTGTGCTTACCATGAGCTATGTTGGGGGTGGAAGGGAGGGGATTAATTTAGATAACCCAAGATTTGGATAGAACTTGATATAAATCTCTTTCCTTGGCCTGTGTCAGAGGTAGTGTTTCAAAATACTGTGGTTGATGGTTATGTTGAATATGTTGATGGTTAGCACAGTCACTGCTCGATCACTGTCCCATCGAAAATCAAAAACCAGTTTACATCCTCTTTTCCCCAGAGGGTGGTGAGCTAAAGCCAGGTTGTTACTGTCCCGTACTAAATGGGCAGCACTTTCAGACCTTTTTAAATTTCTTCTGTTCTGGCCACGTGTGATAAGTGGTGAATTTAAGCCCCTAACACACCCCTAAAACAGCGGTGTAGGGATAAAGCCGTCACCGGAAAGGAGAGAGGGGGAAACAACACACAGGGACACCGGGCCACAGTAGAAATGACAAGGATTCCCTCGTTCTCCTAGGGAATGCTTTCCTCATTCTCCTTAGCTGCCCCTAGTTCTCCCTGGGTGGAAGTCTGTTCTTGCCACCCTCAGCCCACTCTCTGAGAGGGGCATTGGAGAGCTCCTCTGCAGGCAATGCGGTTGTCTGGCTGTCTTGAAGCCCGTCACTTTGATGAGGGATCTAGTGGCTTAGCAACTCCAGGACTCTGTCCACCAGACCTTCTGACATTTTCTCTCACGACGACTCCCTTCAAAACATGGCAGGCATTTTATAAATGCGCTTTTGATGGACTTGCATTATGTCAACCTCCTGAGTTGGCAAAAGGCAGGCAGAGAAATCTTGTTTAGTCATGATATTTGACTTTAGACCAGTCTGGGATCTTTGTCCCTTAGTATCTGGCTTTAGAATTCTGCACGTCTCTGATTCCCAGGTTGACGGGCTCTGTCGTAGGCACTGCTTTAGGACAGTTTAAAACTACAGTCTGATGTGGGAAGGCAGTTATTTGGCCCCATGCCTATAAGGTGCATCTCAGAAGATAGTTCTTTTTAGGGGACTTCATTGTTATTTCCCATCAGGTGGAGAGTGAACATAGTAGTTCCCAGGTGGGGTTTGGGAATCACCTGGGCCTGGCAGTAGCATCTCTCGTAGTCATGAAGCTAAAAATGATCTCTAGACATGGTGGGGTGCTCCCTGGGGGGGCACATGTGCTCCTGATTGAGAAGCGCTGCCTTGGTTAGTCAGTAGTTGGCCCTCTTTGGTTCTCATTTGACCCAAAGGAGCTTTTTACTCTGAAGGCACACGGTAAATCTCTGTGTGGTAGGTATGAGAAGTGATACTGCTTCTCTGATGCTCATCTTTGTCTCTTAAGTTTTGGTTTTTTTTTTAAGTTAGTAGCTTTTGAATCACTAGTTAATTCATATTAACGTATTTTCTTAGGCTTCTCAACTGACAAAGATGCAGTTGAAGTAGCTTCCGGTTTTGGACAGGGACCCAGTTTATTAATTTTCTTAGAGGTTTCCAGGGATATTAACATAATTTCAGCATTAGTAAGAAATTTGCTTTCAGTGGTGAAATGTTTTCTAATTCAACAATTGTTAAATTGATGGCCCCGTAGTTAAAACGATTATAAAAGAGAACTACTTTAAAGGTGAAGCCCGAAAGTGCTTTTAGAGTACTTGGAATTTGAGAGAAAAAATGATCATTGTAGCTAAGTTTTTCCATGGTCTTTTGCTTCGCACCAAGAAATTCCTAAGTGTTTAGGTAGTGTGATAACATGCATACGTAATCACTGATGAAGTTTAGCTTTCATTTTAATGACTCCAGTAGTAATGGTGTCTTTAAAGTACGTAAACATCAGCCAGAATAATCTTAGATGATAATCAGTGAAACATGTCATTGATTCGATTTTTGTGAGCTCATTTATATGAAGATTTTAGTATTCTGCTATGGTTGGCTCCTTAATTAAAAAGGAATGAAGAGTATTGTATATACATATTCTAGGTAGTTAAATAATTTTCTTACTGTGACTTTGTTTATTAATGTTGGTAGTCTCAAGAACTAGGTAGCTTTGGGTGACCCCTGTCATTTAGTATTAAAGTGCTTTACTGTAAGACAACTAATTGTTAAGATTTAGTGGGTTTTAGATGGGCACGAAAAGTTCTACGAGACACAGTACTCTTTGGCAGACTTTATTTTTAAATGAGGCAATAAACCTTATTCTTTGTATCATTCCATCTGGGTCATTCTGTATTTCATATAAATGCTACAGTTTTTTGCTTGAATGTCAGGTAAAAGTGTAGAAGGATTATTTGCGTGTTGAGAAACCTTAATATTTTTGGGAGGAGCAAAATAGTTAATCACTGAAAATTTGCTGAAATGATTCCACTTTCACCCCTCCCTCCCTGTTTTCTTTCCTGTTCTCTTCTGGTGCACCCATATAGGATGCTTCATCGTCCATATTTACTCCGTACAGCTGGGAAAGTATTGGGTTCCTATTTGACATGGAGGGACATGTAGGAGTGCAGATACTGCTTGCCGTCTCTGCACACAAGACACTTCCAGTAAAGCCGTGTGTCTCTTATGAAGGAAATAACATCACGTGTTGATAGAGAAGTGCGAAGGGAAAGTGGTGCGAGTGGAGCACCCAAAATGTCAACATGTCCTGTATGTAGAAGATGTGTCCTATATAAAAAAAGGAAAATCGTTATTACTGTGTGCCCTAGACGTAAAAAGATAAATTCTGAATTAAGTGGGCAGAAATCAACAGAAATAAGCTTCCAGTTTTAGGTTTGGGGGTAGATTTGATTTCATAGGAAGATACAATCCTTTTCATATGGAAAGTACATGGTTACTGCTTGAGCAAACCATATTACATTTTCTTTAAAGTTCAGAAAGGTATTTCATCCTTGAAAATACAGTCTATACATTTTTTAAAGTAGTGATTTGTTACTTTTTGTTTTCAAAGTCATTTTAGAGCTACATTAGGAAACTCATTGATAGTTGGATTACCTATGAACACTCATGAATGTAGGCCGTAGGAAGCCATTGAGAGGCCAGCTGTCTTCAGTTACAGTATGTGATTTTTGGATTTCCTATACTGACTGAACCTAACTCCTGCTGAGTAGTTAGGTTGCTTAATTTTTAATTAATTTTCTTTGATTTTTAATTTTTAATTTTTAAGTTATTTTTGGGGGGTTGCTTAATTATAAACTGTTACAGTTTTACGTAAAATAGTTTAGTTTCTCAACAGCCTTTTAATTTAAAAGACTTTTGTAATATTTATAGCTAATACAGTCAATCATTTTCTTTTACTTTTTTAAATATTTTATTTTTAAGTAATCTGCACCCAGTGTGGGGCTCGAACTCACAACCCTGAGATCAAGAGTCACATGCTCTACCAACTGAGCCAGCCAGGTGCCCCCACAATCAACCATTTTCTGTCTTACCTCCGCAACCCCGGTGTATTCAAACTGTGACATACCAGATTTATAATCTCTTGAGTGCAGTAACATCATAAGAATGAAAAAGAATGCAGGTGGTTGATACAGGAGTATATTTGGAGAAATAAAGGTCAGAGTTGAAGTTCTGTTGGAGATACTGGAAGTGAATTCTAAGGACAAACAGGTAGGTCCAAAGTCAGACTGTCACTTTCTGATCCTGTAATATGGATAAGTCCTTGACTTCAGTTAGTGTATCAGTAAAATGGAAGCAATGTTACTGTCTTTTCCTTAGAGGATCATTTTAAGGATTAAATAACGTGTGTAAACTTGCTTCAAATTCTACAAAATAGTGCATAATTATAAAGCACTGAAGTAAATACAAGGGAAGAGGGAGAGTTGAAAAATAAGTCTTTGAGGATCTGAAGACTTAAGTGTGTAAGTTTTTAAATGTAGCTTTAGTATTGAGGTGACAGTGGCCTGGAACGTACGAGGAAAATCATGTCATTGTAATCAGCTATAAACTGTCTTTTTTGAGGTGATAATGAAATGTTTTGTTACTGCAGAGCTTTACAGTTGATAAAGCATCCTTGCAAATATTATAGTTTCTACTTATTCTGAACATTGGTCAAGAAGAAAAGTGATAACGTCAAACTGGTTTGGACTACTGATTTAACTTCTGTCTTTTGAATGAAATTGAAATAGTTACTCTGTAGCAAGTGATTTAGTTATGAAGACAAAGTAAATATGCTCTGAAAATTTGAAATATAGAGTTAATTTAAAATATTCAGATAAAAAAATAAAATATTCAGATGAGTTAATGCACTTCTGAAATTTTTTGGAATATTTCTATTCTCTTCTAGATATAAAGGAAAGGAAAATGAAAAAAAAATGTGGAGATATCTCCAAGTATCAGAGTTTGATAGAATAGTGTGAACTTGAATTGGCAAATGCTGTTTCCACACATTGGGAGTGTTTTGAACTGTATGGAACGTTTGCAAATGTGAGTTTTTAAAATGCTCACAAATAGAATTTTAATAGAGTGGGAAAAATTGAGGAAATTTAGATTGTAGCAAGTACAAATACTTTCTAATTTGAACAAAAGTACATATTTTCTGAATAAAAAGGGTTGCTTTTTTCTAATTGAATTTAGTTATTCAAAGGCAAATATTAATAGAAGTAAGTTGTGTTATCTCTATTTGCAGTAGAAAAATGTTCCTGGGAAGTAGTAATGTAGACCAAATTTTAAAACTCAAGTCATTTTTAAATTATATTAGTTGAGTTCAAAGTTTGTAGAAACCTTAGGTGAATTGTTTTAAAGTAGGAAATCTTTTGCTAATATGAAGAAAT